GCATACAGTGTTTATTAATGATATATACTTAGGTGGAAAGCTTGCGGTAGCACCATGCAAGGATACGATCTCTTTGTGAGTTTGTATGGTTCTGAAAAGAACCGTGAGGAACTCAACGTCTCGGACAGTATGCTGTGTCTGTCGTCAGGAGACTGAAGAGATGCCGACATGGAGTGGGGCTTATAAGCTGACTGGGAGGACTGGAGTGTGATGGATCCTACTGTGTAGTCAGGTGGAACGAGGATGCAGCTGGTGGATCCACCTGGGTACTGATGCATGTCAGTTGGTGATGGGCTGTGGCGGGGGAAGGTTGCCTGGGTATAGGAGACCCATGGGCAGGGGGGGCCAAGAGTATAGAGGACCCATCAGACCGGAAGGTGAGCAGGGGCTACCAGATGTCGCTGATGGAGAAGCCAATGTCTTGAGGCACAGTGGGGTGTTTGGAGACCCCACGGCAGCCATCAAGAGGAAGCTGCAACAGAAGCTTCTCTCCCTCCACCAGACAGTTACGTCCATCCAACTCAAGATGCCCAAGATTCTTCGGCCAGCCCAAGATACACAAGAAGGGAACCCCACTACGCCCCATCGTTGCTTCTAGAGGAGGGCCCACCTACAACACTGTAAGACACCTGGCCAAGATCCTTCGCCCTCTAGTTGGTAACTCACAGCATCATATCAAGAACTCAGATGAATTTTCGTCCATCATCCAAGACCTCCGGCTGCAGCCAGGCGACATCATGGTCAGCTTTGATGTCGTGTCACTCTTCACCTGCGTTCCCACATTCGACGCAAGCACTATAGCGAGTGACCAACTCCAGGCCGACACCAGCCTCAAGGACTGCACCGACCTCACCCCCAACCAGCTTCAAGACCTCCTCACCACCTGCGTCGATTCTGTCAGCTTACCAGTGGCGGGACAAATTCTATGAACATACAGCTGGAACCTCCATGGGATCCCCTATATCCCTGGTTCTGGCTGACATATTCATGGAAGAGTTCGAGCAGACCGCCATTGCCACAGCAGACCACCAAGATCTGGCTCCGGTATGTGGACGACACCTTCATCATCTGGGAGCACGGGCAAGACAACCTTCAACTCTTCTTGGACCACCTCAACGGGCTTCACAGCAGCATCCAATTCACCACGGAACAGGAGAGGAATGGCAGCATTTCGTTTCTTGACGTTGAGGTGTCCAGAAGGGAGGATGGAAGTCTTGCCTGGAGGGTTTATCACAAGCTCACCCACACCGACCGATACATTCCACCACTCCAAAATCAAGTCATCGGTCAACAGAACCCTCATCCGCCGAGCCTACAACATCTGCGACCAAGAGCACCTACACAAGCAACTCCACCACATCTCCACGGCACTCCAACGCAACGGATACCAGCCCAAGCAGATCAAGACTCAAGACGCAAGATCAAGTCCCCCTCCCGGCCGTAGGGTCCCCTATACCCAAAGCCAACTAGATAAGGCCCGTAGTTCTGTCACTCTCCCTACCTAGGACATACCCCCCACTACATCCAGCATATCCTGAGCGAGCACAACATCAAGGTGTTCCACACAGCTCCCCTCAAGATCCACGGGATGCTGACTTCCCATAAGGACAGGCAAGATCCACACTGCCGACCAGGTATATACAAGATCCCCTGCCAGTGTGGCAAAGTGTACATTGGAGAGACTGGTAGGGACCTTCCTACCAGGATCAAAGAACACAAAGCCCATGGCAGGAAGGGGGACTATGAGAAGTCAGCCATCATCAAGCATTTCCACGCCGAAGACCACACCATCAACTGGGAAGAAGCCCACCTCATCGCTAGCATCGAACAGTGGTACCCAAGACACATTAGAGAAGCTTTGGAAATCTCCAAACACCCCACCGTGCCTCAAGATATCGGCTTCTCCATCAGCGACATCTGGCAGCCCTGCTCACCTCCCGGTCTGATGGGTCCTCTATACCCTAGGCCCCCGCCCATGGGTCTCCTATACCCAGGCAACCTTCCCCTGCCACAGCCCATCACCAACTGACATGCATCAGTACCCAGGTGGATCCACCAGCTGCATCCTCGTTCCACCTGACTACACAGAAGGATCCGTCACACTCCTGTGCTCCCAGTCAGCTTATAAGCCCCACTCCATGTCGGCATCTCTTCAGTCTCCTGATGACGGACAGAGCATACTGTCTGAGACGTTGAGTTCCTCACGGTTCTTTTCAGAACCATACAGACTCACAAAGAGGTCATATCCTTGCCTGGTGCTACCGCAAGCTTTCCACCTTAGTTGCCTCTCACCATGAATAGCTTGAAATCCCATCAATAATACATACATTGGGTAAGGGCAAACCCCGTTATATAAATTAACATCTCCCTAACGCAAAGAATACATCTTGAGGAATTTTTTATTAGTGAAGAATCTTCATTACCCTGCCCCCCTAAAGGTAGTGTAGTTTCTGAATGGAAAAGGGCAACATGTCTCCATATCCCCCCAATATGTCAGGGCACATGATCTGGTAGCAACCTCTTGCCAAGTTTTTTGACATCTGTTTTAAGCAGATAACCACATAAGTGATGGATTTTTGTACTGAAACCCACACGGAAATTAAATTCATCAAATACAGTCTGCCTCCATACTGTAACGAACTTCGTCCATTGGCAGGGGATCTTGTACACTCCAGGCTTGTGCAGTGGATTGTGCTGGTCGTTGTGGGAAGTCAGCAGGTTCTGCATTTTCACGGGGGTTGTATGGAACATGCCATGCCTTGAACGCCATGCATGTGGAAGATGCACTGGATGTGATTTTAGGTACTGTCTAGGTAGGGAAGGGGGATGGTACTAGAGGCCTTAAAATTAAAAGAAAAGGAACCACTTGAAGGAAAAAAAATGATAGATTAACCCGATGATACAATAAACCTGCTGGCAATGTTTTACAAGCCCTGCACTGAGTGTGTCAGACCTTTTTAATGAAAAGGTAAATCATGGCAAATCATCAAATTTCTAACCTCCATCCTATGAGATGGGGGGTATCTCCACCCTTTTAAGTTGCTAGATTTTGTAGAATCAAATATTAAAATCCCTGCCTTGGAGGTGGGGTGGACCAGGGGGGAGGGAAGAAATAGTAGGCACATAAACAATGAGCTAACATGTTGGTCAGGTCTTTGAGAGATTGTGACTTGCCATTATTCAGTCGTAAAGCTGTCAAACTGGTATCATATACCGGTAGTTTAATTCTTTTGTAAAGCCCAGAAAACATTGTGAGGTCCTGTTTTATGGAAAACAGGGTCAGTCATGTGACCCACATCAAAGAAATGTTTTTGTTCGGCCAAAATATTATTGCTTACCCAAATGTTGCAGTGGTATTGAAAATAAAAATAAGAGAAAAGGAACCACTTGAAGAGATAAAATGATAGATTGCAAGAACAATTGAGAAGGGGGACAGAGCAAAATCGGTGGTCAGTTTTGTGCTGCTTAAATCAAAGATTGTAATTTTCAAAAGTACTGGCCAAGTGTCATTTTGGAATTGCCTACACAGATTTGTCTGTTGCAGGCAGTGACTGAACTTTTTAGTCAAGGAGTGTACCTGTGTATTGTTGAAGAACAGCACACCATCCAAGCATGTTGTACATGCAGCCAAAAGAGGCTACTTTTCAACTCTGTTGATGAATACCTTACATGCATACATCATATGCACACATTTGAATGCAAGCTGCTAATCATCTGATCTTCAGCATTTTGAGGAGCCTTGTGCATACATGAACAATAATTAGTTGTACACATCCCAACTTAATTTGTATGCGTCCCAATAAAAAACAAGCTGCTGTCAACTCTCGAATTACAAACTGAATACATTGGGAAAGAATGCACAATGTTTAAAATTTATATTCAGAGAAAAATTGTAAGCTAACAATTTTTCACATAAAACTACCACAATATTAGCCTGTCTGTATTTTTCTCTGTAGCTGTCTGTCATGTGAAGAGCTCCAGTTGTGTCCATCAATAAGATCAAACGTAAAAGTGAATTGAG